TTGGACGAAACTGTAACTGCAGTTACTGCAGGACTTTTCTCCATTATGATTTCCTACCACGTAGTAACGGCTACATCCATCAATTTATATCGAATAGTTTTAGAATTTCGTGAAAATTACATTGTTGATTATTCTAATTAATTGCGGTAAATGGTTCACTTATTAAATTAAATTACAAATTGCTTTTTTTCAATTATTTGGAAAGGTGTCAGTATAGGAGGGCTTTATCTCAGTTTAATCTAAGAGAAAAAAGTTAAATTAAAGGAAAAATTTTCAGCGCTCTGAAAAAGGGTACATTGAGAATAGCAATGTATACAAAATAATGTTGATTTTAACAGAAAAGATCCCGAGTTGTAATTTCACAGACAAGTTCTTGATTTGGGCCAAGTTGAAAACTTTGGATTCGAAATTAAAAGTTTAAAAAATGTGATATGCATACGCCCCAGCACATCCACAACAGTTAAAAATGTTATAAAGTGAAGAAAATTGTTATGGAGAATCGTTGAATCACTATTAGAGAAGTTGCTCAGGATGTCGGCATATCGGCTGGCTCATGCCATTAAATTTTTTCCGAAATTTTAGTCATGAAGTCTGTGGCAGCCAAGTTCGTTCTAAAATTGCTGAACTTTGAACAAACAATCCGCCGTATGAGTATCGCTCAGGAATTGTTGAATGACGTCAACGGCAATCCACATTTGCTTAAGAGGGTCATAACTGGTGACGAATCATGGGTATACGGTTATGGCCCAGGAGAGCCAAGACCAAAAAAAAACGCCAAGTTGGATCGAATGTGAAGGTTTTGATCAGTGTTTTTTTCGATTACTGTGGCGTAGTTTATCAGGAGTACGGCCAATAGGGAGTATTATCTTGAAGTTATGCGCCGCTTACGAGAAGCAATACGTAAAAAACGTCCGGTTTTGTGGCGTTTGCATAACAATAATCCACCTGCTCACTTGTCATTGCTTGTTCGTAATGTTTTTGCCAATAACAACACCGTAATCATGCCTCAGCCACCGTATTCAGCACATTTGGCCCCACGCGACTTTTTTCTGTTCCCATGATTGAAATAATCCATGAAAGGACGGCATTTTTTGACGATTGACGGGAAAATTGTTAAATAAATAAACATTTTTGGGGAAAAATTAAAATTCACCCTCATTGGTAACAACTTAGTTCAAAAGCCGAACAAGTTATTTCTGGATTTCCTCAAGGTATATTTTTGTTATATATTAACGATTCCAATAAGTTATCCATTCATAAAATTTATTGGAATCCCAGATAATCACTCAAAAGAAAAAAAAATTAAAAGGCAAAGGCAAAAAAAACCTTCGATTTGGAAAAACACAGAAACACTTTAAAAATTGCCTGATTCAAATAATCGCAATTTTGACTTTTCTCTGGGACGTCTGTTCAACCGCATATCTGCTTTTTCGAACCGTAAGATGTTTTTGTTTCATGTTTTACTCAGCTCCTAATAAAGCGTTCAAGAAAGTGATATCGATATTTGATAATTCTTCTGCCGAGAAGAAAACATTAAAAAAAACTGAATATAACAATTTTCTTTCAACCGAGGTTTTAACTCAATCTCAATAACTTGTTTCGCAAGATCTATGTAAATCCTGAGAAAAAAAATCAGCTGAATTCGTAGAAACGTCTTGTGAAACAACAGACAAGTTGATATGAGTTATTACGCTAAATTTGTGGGTTTATTTTCCTTCCTGATTCTGCATTTTGAGGCAATTACTTCAAAACAAAATTCTCTCAATTACTTGTTCAAAGAGAAAAAACTTTCTGGAGAGCCATTGTCAATATAAATACCATACACAATGTGATTCAATTCTGACTGAGCTATTGGGAAAATAGAAAATATAACCTCTTATCGTTACCCTACCTATATATTTTGAAATTTTCAATTTTATACTCAATAACTTGAAGAATTTTGAAACTGATACTCAAATAGGTACAAAAATGTAAGAGACAATGTGAGTAACCTTCACGTGCTGTTTTCAAAAATCAATGTTCTTCAGAGCCGTCGCCATGGGGAGGATGGGGGGGAGCCTCCCCCCTTGCTTTTTCGACTTGGGAAAAAGTTGGGAAATTTAGGGCCGTGAAGAAAATGGAAAAATAACTCAGACATGGAAACTTGTGCGAGCTAAAGATCAACGTGTTCTTACTTTTCATCGTGTGATTTGTAACACGAAAAATAAAGTATTATTATTATTACCTACAAAGATACTGCAGTTGTCTTATTCAAAAAATATGTAATCCACTACCTACGTGGAAAAAAATTACATTGACATGTGGGAGATGCACTGTGAAAACCTATGTGGAAACATATGATGTGTATATCCATAATAGAAATATCGCGAGAAATATCATTTTTCCATGACTATTGAAATTAGCGTCAATGATGTGACCGTTGTTTGTTGGTTAAGTAGGCAAAATTATCCATAACCCACACCTTCCTACCAATCACAGTTGACCTGGCACATATATCGCCAATCGTAGATGAGCAAATCCATAGCTTTACAGGTGTGTTTCAATTATTTTCAAAAACAAATAAACCATGAGAATTTGCCTATTACAAAATGAGTTCTCAAACGTGAACAGGAAATTAATATTTTTCACTCAATAATAATGTAGGAAACTAATTTGTAAGCTACCTTTGTGGATCAATTGTTAGAGCATCAATGAGCTGAACAATTTTTCATTTTTCCAACCACTCAATATTCAAACTATTTGAATTCGAATAAGATATCAAAAATGGGAAATACTTTATATTTTTGAATGCCTTTTTCAGATTCTTTCTTGTTATGAAACGTAATGCTATTCTCGATTCTATTCTTCTGATTCGGTATATCCTTCACAAATAAATCTTTTTTTTGAAATATTCCTATTATGAGTCCTACCCGCGAATCATACAAACTAATCGGCTTCGTTAAGAAGCTGGGATTATTTGGTCGAGTGTGAATAGGTGTGAGCCACAATAAACCCTTGCGGGTTGCGGTGAAGGGGCGAATAGACTCACTTACTTTGGACCTAACCTAAACTACTCGTGAATAATTTTCGACAGACCTTATTTTCAGAACTAAAAAACATATTTTTCGCTCGTTGAATAATATACTATTAAGAAATTCTCGACAGAATGATTTTTATCCTTGAGAAAATCATTAATATACAAGGGGTAAAGTGATACCTTGTTTGAGAGGTGGAGCCATATTTGCAAACATTTGAAAAAAATTAAATTCATTATAATTTTCGTCCAAATTGTTGATAATGATACGGCCTGTTTCGTACTGTTGAATTGTACTACTAGTACCTAAAGAAAATTTTCCTAAGTACCTACTTACTCATTTATGTTTACCTAATGACTTTTTTATTTTCAGCTCTTAAAAAAAAAGGCATTTGAAAAGTAAAGAAAACATAACTCATAAATGTTAATTTTTTTATCGTTTCCGCACGTAATGTGGCCAAAAATGAATATGGTCTCAACAAATAAAATTCAATGGGAACATCTAGTGGTGATCGTCTAAAAATGAAGTAGTAATAATTTGCGAGATGGGTTAATCAACTGAAATTCATCTTATATATAACCATCCCAAAGATGAAAAAATGACTATAAAGCACAAGCAAATTTTGTTAATTTGTAGATATTTAGACTTTTGATATTTAGACTTAATTGCCGATTTTTTAAATATATCGAGTGACTTGTTTCTACAGGTGAAGTAAATGAAAATGTAAATTTCGTTTTAGAGTTCATGGCCATCGTGTCTTCAAACTTTTTTCTGACGTTTCGCCGGCGGGATGAGAAAGTTAGACCAAGATGAACTATGGCTAACCCATGTATTGTTTTTTGATACATCCACATTTACCCTTCATGGACATGTAAATCGTCAGAACTGTAGATATTGGTCTCGAGAAAAACCTCACTAAATGCGAGAGTTATATGCTCAGCGACCAGAAAAAATAAATGTCTGAGCAGGTATTTCGAGAAATAGGATAATTGGACTGAAATTTTTCTAGGGTTAACCTGAAGAGAGATATCGCTTCGTAACTTTTACATGCAGAGCTTGTTCCTTCACAAATAAACTAATTTTCCTATTCAGTTGATCCAAATATACCTTATACTTGTATACAGTTTCAACAGAATGGAGCACCTCCGCAATCTAGAAGTTCTTTTAAAATGATATTTAAATACAGTATTCCGAAATAGGTGTATAGGTGGAAGGGATGTGTTGGAATTGGACGGTAAAATCGCCTGACCTCACCCTATTAGATTTTTTCTTTGAAGATAGAATAACGTAAGGAATACGGGAATTACCCTTGAGATGTTTGTAAATGTTAGAAATAAATTTTAATAATAGGCTGAGTTGTCAAGAAGTAGAAGAAGAATATTTTGAACATATTGGTCATTGTGTCAAAATGGATTTATTTTTGTCTGAGTATTTTAACCAGAATAAAAAAACTTAAATTTCTTTCAAGCCCAGTAAAACGCGACCTTTTTGCCAATTTAATTACGTGAAGCCATCTGTAGGGTACATAAATTGATTTTTGGAAATAAAACTGTTTCTAACAAATTTTTACAACTAAAACTTTCAGTATTTAAAATGATTCCATCTCGAATATGCATCAGAGAAATAACAATAGAAGTAGACTTCTGTTTTTACTGAGAATTTGAACAACTTTCAAAGAACCCCCCCTTCCCATTACAAAATTCTGAAAAGATTGATCTGTAATGCAGGAGGTTGAAAGGACTGCAGTTGATACATTTTATGTAAAAAAAACTGATTTTCAAAAATAAAAATTGACCCGTCCAAAAATTTTTTAAAATGTTATTTCTTTTATGGAGATACGGATTTTATTCCACATAGGTTTCCACCAGTATTGGTAGTTCCTCTTTGAATAAAAATTCAGGAGAAACAACATTTGGATAAAAATGATTTGTTGAAGATACCAAAAGTGAACACGTGCTGAAATTTTCAAAAACTGTCAACACTAACTTGTATTGTTGTTGTTCTTGCTCATGACTTTTCTTGGCACAGACGGAGATAGCGAGTTCCTCTGCAGAAGAATCTGCGATGGGGTAACGCACACTTTGGGAGATTGTCTTGCACTCGAACTACCACTGGCACAGTTTCCCAAAATCACCGGAACATTCGAACTACCGGAACTTGACGCGGGAGCGGGTCCGTCAGACGACCGTGTGTCGTCGCCGGCCTGATTTGTGCTGGTCAGTCCGTCCATCTTCTTATGTTTCAAAGTCATTCAACGTAACATAAATGAAAATAAAAAGTTGAATTCGAGTTGCAAGATGCAACTGTCTCGCTGTACAATCTACAACTGCAGCAAAAGCGATTTTGTTTTGTTTGGCGCCCCACTCGTGCGATATAGCGCGCTATCCCCTCCCTTGGTACACACGGAAGCTCGTAGTCCTGAGTCCTGATATTGGACGTGCCGCAACCGGACTTTATCCTTGGGTTATCCCTGAAGAGTTAGATTTTCGCGCTTCGCTGTACCCCTAGCCGGCCTATTTGTTTTCGCCAGACAAGTGATTTTTTTTTGCATTTTCGGTTGAGATTTTAAACTCATTTGCATTTTCTTTAGAACTAATGGGCTAAGTGCAACGGAATCATATTAGCCATGCATATGCATAGTTTGCAGAATAACTTTTCTTAAAAATGTCGGTTATGATTCCGAAGAACTACTAATATTTTCTGGTCAGGGAACAGTTTGGTATAGGCCAGTTCGGAATTAGGTCTAAGTTAATGAAGAAGATATACTGACCCATGAGTAATTACAATAGTGTCAAACACATTTATTACAAATATTTGAAAATAATACAATAACAAGACAAATGAAATACATTAAAAAATACATAAATTCAGAATTATTAAATAGATATTGTAAAAATTAGCACTTATTACATTGGTTTATAAACGAATCAGTAGTGAATGAGGGGAAAGATTAAAAACAGACAGAAAGCAAACAAAACAAAAATATTATTCATACGTACTTGAGTACATGATTACAATGTTGAAGTTGTTTTTTTATGGATATAACTATGGATGAAACTACAGCTTCTGATAGACAACGTAGATATATAAGTTATACTATAATCGATCAATCACTTGAAAAATACATTTACATCTAAAGAGGAATTTTCAGGAAACAGCTAAAAAAAATATCTATTAGTTTTCACTGCAAAAAACGGGACAAAAATAATCAGTCAAGCAGAAAGTGATGAGGATCATTAAATAGCACAATCAGTTCTATATAGGACGTTCGAAAACTTGACCCCCCATGTAAGTCAGAAACGGACGTGTAATAGAACATTTTAAAAAACACGTCAATTTTTATTTCTAAGGGGACGAATTCTGACATGGAAATCATACCCGAAACTTCAATAATGTAAGGAACGCTTTCGAAAGTAGACTGTATTATTGTATGGAACTAGATGGAGGTCATTTTGAACACTTTACCTGTTAATTGTGTTGCCACTGATATTACTTTTGTTGATTTTCTCAATAAAATGGGCGACAGCAAATTTTCTGTTTTTTCTTAAATAAAATGTTCAACTTTTAATTTCTCAATAACGATATACCATTTGTTTGGAGGTGGTTGACAATATTTCGTGGTGTATTTCATCAGTTCGGAACTCTTTCAAGACTGAAAAATCAAGTGGGAAACTACTTGAATGAATTTTAGCTTCAACTTCAAAGAACAAGAGCGTGAATTTTCAGAGATATACCGAATTGACAATCTGATCCTGAGTGATAAAATCAGCAGGTAGGTTTTTGACTGGGATTAAAGTGAGTTAGTGTTAGACCATTTGCGAATGAATGCTCAGGTATTCATAATAATTAACTATAATCCTAACCGATCTACTACAGCCTGGTTTTGTCAATTTGTTACATCTCTGAAAACAGTTCGTTAGTTACCTCCATTTTATTAATTGCCTATCGCCCCGTATAAGACTGTCATCTTTGAAGTGACGCAATTACACCAGAGGTTCAAGTGTTCCGCGTAAAACTTTTTCGAAAACAGATATTTATGACTTTGCACATTTACATTTACACCTGCTAATTTCTTGACCACCATAAACCGTTGAAAATATGCTAAATTATATCTATACGGACTCAATTTTAATAAAGAATACATTAGGCTCGTTAGCGAATATTCAATTAAATATTTTTTCTGCTAGGAGTTTGTGAAAAACCTGGTACGCAGGACTATCTGTTAGAATTTTCGAAACTATTATGAATTGATGGATTGATTAAAAAAGAGAATCCGTGGTAGAATTTTTTTCCATAAAATTCCAAAGCGATAAAACTCATTTCGATTTCCAGTATAAAAGGTTTACAAAACCGCGACACGTGTTTCACTGTACAATAGCTTTCTCAACCAGGATATGATCAACTACTTATAGATGAAAAGATTTTATATTCTGAAAATATAACTATGATCTACGATACGATCAGATAGTTAATTCTGATTTAATTTCAACTTCCTGACAAGAGCCGATACAATAATTTCATTAACTAGTAATAGCAGCTAAATATTACCTATACCTATATCAATTATTCGAGGATGAAAAAGCATGATTATCTAGTGAGAACATCAAAAGCAACGGGGAACTATTCAACTTAATTTGATAGTTCATTTTTTTAAGGACAAAACACAAGCACTACAGGAAAATCCTTGAGGCGCTCTCAGAGCGGTGCCTGTGCGAAAGTAGCGATTCACATTGGATTTGAATCGCTGGAGATTAAATCCATTTGGAAAACCGTTCTCAGGAAGTTTATTACACGTAGTTCTCCAAATGGAAGAGTTCTCAAATAGTGAAGTTCGAGGTGTATTGACTTGAACCTCAAAACGATGAGCAGCCACAATCCATTGCGCTCTTGGTGGAATAAAATGTGACAAGTCACTTGAACACTTTCCGTGGAAGTATCTATAGAACAGAGACAAATCTCCAACTTTTCTTCGATGTTCCAGGCTATCAAGATTGTTCATTATACACTGGGAATTTCTGTACTCATTGACTTCCATATTTGAATGAGTAGCATACGATGAATTTATTTTTACATTCTGGAAATTGTTTCTATGTTCTTTTATGCGTGCTTTGAATGTTCTTTCAGTTTGACCTATGTTGAACATCAGACATGAACCGCAAGACAATTTGTAGACTCTCATTCTATCTGACACCAAACTTTTGTATTTGTTATTTGCTCAAGGTACTATTGTTTTTAAATGCTATATTTACACCTTTATTTTTTAGGGAACTAGAAATGTTCAAACTGGGTTAGCCCAAATTCAACAGAAAATTGCTGATAGATGGCTTGAACCAATTGAAACGCGCTGTTTCTTTCAAATGAATTCAAATACTCGTGTTGAGAAAAACAAAAGAAGGAAAAGAAGATTATCGAAAATGCCTGAAGGAGAAAGAAGTTTTTTTTCTGAAAGTAGGAAATGGCACCGTTTCATAACTTTCCCCTCGTCCCTTGAAATCGGGTGGATTTCCTATCTGTGGATTATGTCGTTGAATGCTGCAATATGTTGTTTCACAATTATTCTCAAAAGAGGGAAAAAAGGTTATCGAAAATGACTGAAGGAGAATGAAGTTTTCTATCTGAAAGCAGAAAATGGAAAAGATCAATCTAGGACAAATCTTATTACTTCGGGAGATTTGGCGATTAATAATATATAATAATAAATAGTTCATCAGTAAATTATAATACATAAATATGAAGTGAAGTATGTGGGGAACATTATACTTTGATGAATAAACGGATACTTTCACTAACGGTTCCTATAATAATTCATCAAATTCAATTAAAGAAAATATCTGTTTAAAATCTGTTTTTCCATTAACCAGCTGTCGCACCCCTACGAACAACAACCCTCAGAAGTCAAAACTTGTGCGAGCTAAGGATTAACGAGGTCTTACCTTTTAACCTATGATTCCTAACACGGGTTGACGATAGCAAGTGAAAATCGATCGTTCAGACTGGGGCTTGAGCCACCGACCAACACGGCAGTCAATTTGAGTGAGTGAACAAAGCACCCACGTCGAACCTCCTTGCTACCGCCTTGCATCAGTTTCAGGTCAGATGTTGTATGTTTCTAACTTTGGAATATTTAAAATATACATCTCCCGAAGTTTAAAAAACATTCATAACTCGAGAACGATTCGTTGTATTTTTCTCCCGCCCAAATTAGCAAATGACTATCAAGACATTCAAAACAAGATGTAACACATTTTCGAAGTTCGATTTGTTAGGTTATAGGTTATGACAGTATCAGGATACACGCAAAGACAATTGAGGTTAGTCGTTCATGATTGTGCGTGCTTGAATAATCATGACAGAAGCAAAGTCACCAGAATCCATTGCAGTTTCATTCACAATGCTGCGGTCGAATCCGTCACAACAGAGCCGGTATGTAAACAGACTGCAGAAAATTTCGAATCAATCCACTGCAGATGAAAAAGAAATCGCACAAGACGAGCGCCGGGTTCAGTGTTGACAGGTGTTTTTTTTTGCATATGATTTCCTGTTTTGGCTCTCGAACTACTGTTCTACTGTTTAAGAGCTGAAATCAACTGATGGCTCGGTTTACATTCCATAATTATTATTGAACAGCTCTGAATATCGGAAATTACCATGTATATAGTATATATCTATGAATTTTTTTCTGTTTTTTATTGAATCTACTGTTTTTTCTGATACAAAATCTACTGCTGAGCATGAAATTGACCTGGCAACACTGTTTTGTTAGTTTGGCCCGACTTCATGCTGCAAAAAACACAATATTCAAAAGTGTATATAACTCAGCTAATAAGTTTATTCAAAGACAATACAAAGTACGCCGGGCCAGCTAATATTATTATACATTTTTCTTGTTTTTTCTATACATAACCTTTTCTAGGTCTATCAGAAGACTATGACAAAATATAATTAAGAATCAATAGGTTAATTTCACACAGGAATGGGTACCTCTCAATTTTTTGTACCTGATACAAGGTACAAACTGGCCTGACCTACTGTACTCCCTAATGGGTTACCAGATTTTCACAACCCTATATGTCTCCCTCTTCATTTTCTCTCGGTGGGTCATTTTTTTCCTTCATTTCGGTTAAGATTTCTAGCTTATTTGCATTTTCGTCGTGCATAGAAGAACAAATAAAGATTCTAATTTCAGCAGAGCATCCTAAAAAAAAAACAAAAATTATTATATTTTAAAACGTGGGAAGTGACACAGAACCGTACCATAATAAGATTCCCATCATTTTATAGGTACCCGTTACGGAGAGGAAATTTTTA